TTCCCTTCCCTTCCCTTCCCTTCCCTTCCCTTCCCTTCCCTTCCCTTCCCTTCCGAGAGCCGGGGCACCGCTGGGTGCCGCTGGCTGATGTCAAAGTCCCTTCCCACCTTCCTAATTCTGGGATTCTGGGAGGTTTCGTCTTTCTCTATTGAATGACAACCAATTATTTTATTTTATTTTATTTTATTTTATTTTATTTTATTTTATTATTTTATTTTATTTTTTATTTTGTTTTATTTTACTTAATATTTTATTTTATTATATTTAATTTAATTTAATTTTATTTATTTTATATTTCATTTCATGTTACATTTTATTTTATTTAATTTCATATTTTAATAAATTAAATTAAATTTCACTTTATTTTTTATTTATTTTATTTTATTTTATTATTTTATTTTATTTTATTTTATTATTTTATTTAATATTTTATAATATTTCATTTTATTTCATTTTATATTTTATTTTATTTTAATTAGTTTAATTTAAATTAATTTCATTTTTTTTTATTTCATTTCATTTCATTTCATTTCATTTCATTTCATTTCATTTCATTTCATTTATTTTATTTTATTTTATTTTTTAAATTTCATTTAATTTAATTTCATATTTTATTTCATTTCATTTCATTTTCTATTTGATTTGATTTGATTATTCCACAAAATCCCGCGGAGGTCCCAGCGCCACCAGGTGGGGTGTGAGCGCCGGGACCTTTCCCTGGCTGCGCTGCAGATTCCGGTGGGAATTCCTCGGGTGGAATTTCTCCTGCAGGAAATCCAAAAATTCTCCTCAGAGAAAAAAAATCTGATTTTTTCCTCCCCTCAGAATCAACAGCCCTGTCAGGAAGCAGCTCTGGCATCAAATTTTAGTTAAAAAATGGCTTTATTTTGGCTGGAGGTTTTGAATTTTGTGGAACAGAATTTCCATTTCTGGGGCAAAATTTTCTGTGGTGGAAAATTCCTCAGGTGGAATTTCTCCTGGAGCTTCTGCTGCAGAAAATCCAGAAATTCTCCTTAGAGAAAAAAAAATCTGATTTTTTCCTCCCCTCAGAATCACCAGCCCTGTAAGGAAGCAGCTCTGGCATCAAGAATTTAGTTAAAAATGGCTTTATTTTGGCTGGATTTAGCATGAAACACTTGCTCAGAGAATTGCCTTTTATTTAAGAGACCATTTGTCCGGATCTGAGAAGGCGAAATTTTAAAATTTTATGTCACTTAGCACAAATGATCACAAATCCATCTTTTATTTAGTTTATCCCTCAGTAAAAGACATAAATAATTCCAAACCGATTTGAGAGGCTGAAGAAATTTGGTGTGGGATGTTTGGAGATGCGCGACTGTAACAAAAGTTTCAGGAAAAATAAACTTAATAAAATTTAATTTCATAAACTATCAGTAACAAAACAATAACTTCACAAAAACCTTAATAAAAAACCAGTAACTTCATAAAAAAACCCCAATAATTTAATAATCAACCTCTGTGACCTTTGGAACTCATTCTTAGGCCTTCCCCTGGAAGGTGGTGCTACATAGATATATAAATAAATATAAGCATAATATTATATAAAATATTTTCTATAGATACAGGCGCATATACAATAAATATTAAAATATAAAAAATTTATAATAAAATATTTGTCTAGGTCTCTTAGGTCAGACTAACCAAGCACACCAAGGGTGGGGCAGCTTGTCCTCAAGGCAGATAAGAAAATTCCAACACACACAGTGGCAATTTTCAGCTGATTTTTAAGTCTCTGAGTGAGGAATTTTTATATTCTTGTGGCATTTTTATATAAATATTTAATATTTATATTACACACCATGCAACCTAGCCTTGAACGTGTCCGGGGATGGGACATGGACCTCATATTTTTCCCTTTCTAGCAATAATATAGCACTAAATACAGTAATTTATATATAAATATATATATACATACAGTATATTAGTATACACAGCATATTTTATATGTTTTGTACATACCGCATGTTACATTTTATTTTATTTTATTAATTAATTTTATTTCATTTTCATTTCATTTTCATTTCAGACAGCTACATTTCCCTTGTGAAATGTGAAATTTTTTTTTGAGGCATACATAAAATTAAATAATTAAATAAAATTAAATAATTAAATAAAATTAAATAATTAAATAATTAAATAAAATGTAACATAATAGATATAAAAATATCCTGTGTATAATATGCTGTATGTCTGTTTGGTATATATAAAAAGTCGCTTTATGTAACAATATACTGTATGTGTATGTGGGAATATCTGTAACATGCAGTATATACAATACATATAAAATATGCTGTGTATAATAATATACGGTATGTATAATAGATAAAAACAGCATATATACAGTACACACGCTGTAGGGTGTATATATATATATATATATATATATATATATATATGATGTATTAGAGACGGTAAATTTTCATCTATAATCTATTATAGAGTGCGTACATGTATTACATACAGAATATATACTACGTACACAGAATAGGTGACAAATATAGTAAATTTTATACATATATTGTTTATTTTGTGGGTGGCAGCGCTGCCTCCCTCACGGCGCTGCCCTCACCCAACATGGCGGACGCCGCCTCGCCCGCCACTTGTTGCCGCGGCAGCGGCGGCTCCCGATTGGCTCACACGCCTGGGCGCGGCCACGGCGGCGGCTCCCGATTGGCTGATGAGAGGCGGGGGCTAAGGAAACAAGATGGCGGGCGGGGGGCGGGAGAAGCCGCCTCAGCGACGTCGCCGCAGCCGCCTCCGCTCGCCTCCGACCATGGAGGAGCCGCCGCTCCAGCAGCCGCCGCCGCCGCCCGGGGAAGACGAAGAGGAAGGGGAGGAGGAGGAAGAAGAGGAGGCGGACGCTGAGTGGAGCTTCGTTGACCGCGAGATGGAGGCGGTGGCGCTGCGCGACCTGCCCACCGCCACCATCGCCTGCAGGCTGGACCCGCGCGTCTTCCAGGACGGCCCGTGCCGGGTGAGGGGGCCGGGAGCCGTGAGGGGAGAGCGGGGCGGGGCGGGGGTGTCGCGGTTCCCGGAGCGAGAGAAACCCCGGGGGGATGAGGGGGCGAGGCTGTGGCTGCCCGGCCCCTCGGTGCTGCCGGGGCTGAGCCGAGGGTGGAGCCGGGCGGGGCCGCGCTCCGCTGCCGGGGAGCGGCCTCAGGCTGGGACAGCAGCAGCAATTTCCCCATGGAAAGGGTGCTCAGGCCCTGGCAGGGGCTGCCCAGGGAGCTTTGCAGTGCCCATCCCTGCAGGTGTCCCCTGGAGGTGGCACTGAGTGCTCTGGGCTGGGGACAAGGTGGGACTCCATGGGTTGGGAGGGCTTTTGCAGCCTCAGTTGTTCCATGATTCTGGCATTTCCAACACAAACAGCTGTTTTACCTTCATTCCTTTGATTCCTGAGCCTGTAGCCCAGGGTGAACCTCTGCATGATAAAGAAATCAATTAAAATATCCCTGGACCACCCTTGCCTGAGCTTTCTCCTTAAGGTTCTGTTTGGTGCACCCTATATTTTACTTTTGCTTTTTTTTTTGCTTGCTTTTGTCATTGGTTTTGCTGTCTAACCCTTTCATACTGAAGGAGGTGCTTAGTTTTTAAACATACTTGAATTGAACTCAGTGGACTTGAAAAATTAGGCCGTGGTTAACAAATTAATTTAAATTTCATAATCTCAGCATAAACTGTGTTGTCTTCATCGTAGATGACAATATCAACAGATACTGCAGAAATTACATTTCTAAGGGAAAGAATAGGAGAACTGTCTTGAACTTGCATCAATATCTGTCTCCAGGAGGGAAGAAAAGTCTCAAAGTTTTAGAAATAATACAAAACTTAAAAAAAAGGCAGGTGGAGGTCCTTGGAAGGTAGGTGCGCACAGACTTTTCATGGATGAAAAATCAGTTTAGGTCACTGAATTTCAGCACTGAAATGCATAAATTAGCTTTATTTAATAAAGTTACAGAACTGGCAACTCTTTAAAGCAGGAAATAAGTGGCATTTTTAGGAACACACATGGGTTAGCTACGTTTTTCATTTGTTTTGTTGGCCAAATGTCAAGAAGGTGCAGAGAGACAAAGTGGAATGAGGCCCTCGGGCTGTATCCCAGATTTTGGAGGTGTTAAAGGTGCCCTCAGCGTTTGGATGATTTAAGAAAAACAAAGTTCTGTTAGAAATTAGGAAAAACATTGCATTTTCCCGTGGTGCCTCCAGTTTTCCAGAGCATTTGGTGGTGCTGGTGTCCAAGGAAATGCAGGAGTTTTGTCACTCAGGTGGGTGAGGTGATGTGGGCACACTGAAATGTCCCTGTCTGGACCACCTGAGAAAGATTCCAAGGTAATTTCCAAAGGCTGCACTTGGTTAGGAGGTGAATTTGAAGAAAATTCCTTGGGTTTGGTGTAGAATGTGCCCAGAAAATTCCAATTTGTGCAGCAGAGGTGTGGAATTTGGTGCTGGTGAGGATCCTCACAGATAGTGTCTGAATTTTGCTGTGTTGGTTCTACTCTCTGAACATTTTGCTTTTACCAGCAGATGGAACACTCCTAAAATACCTTTTCTCTCCAGTTAAATGTTGTTTTTTTTTCCCTTCAGTGGGCCCCTTAATAATCCTGGATTACCCTATTTTGGAAGGGTTGATCCTATCAGAGGTGAGACAAGACAGCCACTGCTAATTATTTCTATTCTGTCCCTCCCAAATCATTATTTGTCATGGAAGTGCTGCTTGAATATTCCTCTTCTTCCTCCTCTTCAGTTTTTGAATGTTGTTTATTGAGGTATTGATAAATCAGAAATTTTAAGTGGTTTGTCATCAGTCTCTTAAAACCAGACCTTCTTGTCAGTTCTGCTAAATGACAGTTAATTCTCAGAATAAATAATTCTTAATGACTGTTTTTTTTTTTAATATCAGTCCCAAAATCTTCTAGAGAACACCTAAGGACTTACTCTCAAATTTTCTAAAGCACAGTTCAGGAATTCATTGAAATTCTGTATTTTTTTCTTTTTATTGAAGTACAGGAAATTACCACAGATAAAACCCTTTTTTCTGATCTTCAAGTTGGCAAATTACCTTGGAAAAATATGGATTTTCTGAACTGTCTTTTACATTGAATTCTGGTGCAGTCACTGGAAGGTTAAATAACGAAATAATTCCATTTATGTCTTGCTGGAACCCTGGGTACTCAGAATTTCAGACTTTCTGTGCTGACAAATACTGACCCCCAGGAGAACACTGCATTTGACCTGAATTTGTGGAGAAAACTTCCAAAATTAAATTATAGAACTACAATTATAACTGTGTAGTTTAAATAGAAGTGTGTAGTATCACCAAGTAGAAAACTTAGAGTTTAAATTTTAAAATATAATAATATATATAAAGCAAGATAAAAGTTTTAAAACAGAAACTGATCCTTCTTCACCTTCTTCATAAGTAATATTCTGTAAGTAAATAAAAAAGCCACATTGTACACCACAAGTAGTTATTAAGTTAAAAGTAATAATAATTTAATAATAATTCCTTAATTTAAAAAATTATTCTTAAAAAACCTTATAAAAATACAACTCCATTTTTAGTTTATGAAAATAAAATACTACAAAACTCACAGTTTGTGAAACTGTAATACAAATAAAAACTAACAAATAAAAGATACCAGCTCACACATTGAATCCCAGCCTTAACAGAAAAAACCCAAATCCAGTTTCCATTTCCCCTTCACTGTGGGCAAAGAGGAGCACCAAGAGCTCCTTCAAAGAATTTAATTTCTCACAAAATCATTGGGGTTTTTGATGGAAACAACTTTCTCTTAAACTTGAAAATATTTCTGAGATTTTGAGGTGGTGGAGTCTCCATCTCTGGGAAGTGTTCCAGAGGTGTTTGGATGTGGTACCTGGGGACATTTTAGGTGTTTAAAAACCATATTTTAAACCTATTTCCATATTTTACACCATATTTTGTCCTATTTCCATGATGGTTCTGCTGGGAAAGTCACTTCCACCTTTAAGGATTCTGTGATAATTACCTTAATCTGCTAATTTTTGCAAATTAATGAACAGAGCAGCAATTTTTCCATCATTACCAACAATGTATATCCATAGAGAAACTGAAAGCAGGCAGTTCTATCATGGGAACAGCTTTTCTCTGGGAAAACTTCACTGGAAAACTGAATTATTAAAGAAATTCATCTTGCTGGAAGTGCACTCAGGAGTTGGAGTTGAGCCTGTGTCCTCACATAACCCCCAGAACTTGCTGGAAACAATCTCTGCAATTATTTATTTAAAAAAACAATTATAAATATTATATTTGTGCTTGAAGAGAAAGCCCAGGAAAAGCAGAATTCTGGGAATTGCAGCTCCCAAATTCTGCTTTTCCTGCAGCTTGGGCTGCTTTCAGTGCAGGAAAGCTGCAAATAAAGCTGTTACAGGAGCCTTTCTTTTAGACATTTTTAATTGCCTTGCAGCCACTGCAGTAATCATGAGGAGGATTTCTGGTTTTTCAGGGACTTACAGAATTATTTGTGCTCTGAGGAAGTTTAGCAGATTTCTCAGGAGTATTTCTAAAACTTTCTTTACAAATAATCTCAATTTTCTGCTAATCTCTTCCTGCCTCAGCCACATGCCTTGTAATCCTTTTACTTCACGTTTTTTAAGCCTCTTAGATCACATTAAAAAGAAAACATTTTCAAAGCAGATTTCCAAAAAAAAGTGGTTTTACACATGTATAGATTTTTGTGATCACAGCTCTGGTTTTGACAAAATATTCCCTAATGGGAATGTAAAACCAAATTATTGGCTACTGCATATATTTTGAAGATTTTCATTCTTTCTCTGCCAAAAAAAATTTTTTTTTTTTTTTTGTGACAGTGTTTATAGTTTTTAATGCTTCTGGTTTCCAAATAAAGCCCAGGGTTAAGAGTGTGGTTCAAAATCACATCTCAATAATCTGGATTTACTTTAAGCACTAAAACCATTACAGGAAAATTAGAAACCTTCCATTGTGAAAAGTTTTTCAATAGAACTTCTGGAAGTTAAATGGGGGTATTTTGAGCAGTTTGAGGTTTATATCACACTTAGACCTTCTGTAGTTCTCCAAAATAATCATTTCTGTGTCAAAAATCCACTCCTCAAAGCAGGCTGATGCTTCAAGCAAACCATACAAATACTTTTCTAGGTAGAAAAAAAAATGAAAATATATAATATTTATTTAAATATTCAAATGACTCTTGCTGCGCAAAATAGTTGTTGGCTGCCTTAAAAATACGTAAAGCTAAAAAAACAGTGTTGTAAAATTGTCATTGTACAACTTAACAACTCCAAATTAACAACAATGTCCAAATTAAGAACTCCATATTAACAACAATGTCCAAATTAGCTACTCCAAATTAACAACAGTGTACAAATTAACTCCAAATTAACAACGTCCAAATTAATAACTCCAGCCTGAGTGTTGGAGTTTTAACAAAAATGACTTCCCAAGGATCCAGTACTCCAATCCTGAGCTCAGATTTGGAACAAGGATCCCACATGAGGTGTGAGCTGTGCAGGATGAACAATTCCATCTTCCTGCAGAGCCAAGGGGAAATTCAGGAAAACATTGGTGAAATCCCTGGTGATACCTTGGGAAGGCTGAGCTGGAGCAGAGGCTGGGCAGAGCTAAAGAATAAAGCAGGGATTTATTAAAATAGTAAAGACTAAATAAAGAATAATTTAGTAATAAATTATTATGACAGTATATAATATGTGTGATATTATATATGACAATATTATAATATTAGAGTGTTAATAATTGGATGATAAAATTTAATAATTTATTAAAATACATTTTAATAAATCTTTTAATAAATATTTATTTAAAGGCCTCCATGGATGCACCTTGGGCAGCTCCAGAGCCCAGCCAGGGCTGCACCCAAATGACCCAAAATGGTCCCAAAATGCACGAGTGCTCCCGGGGCTCTCCCTGGGATCAGTTCTGCTCCATTGGCACCTTGG